GCTGCTACTACTACTACTGCAAATACTCCTGCTCGTACTACTACTACTACTACTACTACTACTACTACTACTACTACTACTAGTACTACTACTACTACTACTACTACTACTACTGCTGCTGCTACTACTACTTCTTCTTCTAACACTACCACTACCACTACCGACTACCGACTACCGACTACCGACTACCGACTACCGACTACCACTACCACTACCACTACCACTACCACTACCACTACCACTACCACTACCACTACCACTACCACTACCACTACCACTACTACTACCACTGCTACTACTGCTACTACTACTACTACTACTACTACTACTACTACTACTAAACCTACTACTGCTACTACTCTGCAAGTTTGACGGCGACCCCCGCAAGGAACTGTCCGTGCTGCTGCAGTCCCCATATCTGGTGGGCCAACAGAAGGAGACGTTAAGTGTTTGCATCCTGGAAGTTGCTGATTTCTTGTTCTGGCTTCAGTGGTCGGGCCGGCTTGTTCTGTTGGGGTTGCATGGCACTGACACTCAGCTGTGGGGTTCACCCTTGCCGTGTTCATACGCCTTTCCCGCAGCAGTCGGATGGAGGCACTCTTAAGACCGACATGAGACCTGATGCTACAAATCTACATTTCTCAAGAGTCGTTACAGAGTATCGCTGATGGGCACAGCTTGTGATGGACGATGGTGGATTATCGCCGCTTGCACCACTGGCGGCCCATGCTTGCAAGCCTAGATGATTCAGCTCCGGTCCATCAGCAGTTCTTTTACGGAACCTATGAGAAACCCGGTTCATTCGTACCCCAAGAGTGTGGGCCTAAGCCCAGGGTCTGCAGGGCAGGCCGAGCCTTGTTTCGAGCAAATGAAACTTCAAGCAGGACTTCTCAGACAAGTGGCTTGGGAGTAGCCTGAGTAGCCGCAGCCAGATGCGGAAGATCGAACATTAGCTGGGAAGATTGAAGTTTTGAGGAACTGTGTCGACACAATCTGAAAAGATCAGCCCGAATCAGCCACGACCCCGCGCGACTTGAGCTACGACCACGGTCATCACCCGGACCATCACGACCACCACACGCCTGCAACTCCACGATCCATAACCCCACGACTGCAATAAAAACATACTTTACCATATCAGAATGCACGGCAGCTACATCTCCAGGCCCGTAGACTTAACATGGTCGTCCCGCAGGCGCCATCGATGCTCGCGAGTTCACTTACGCACCTTGGCCCTTTTAAGATAGGTAAAGTAGAGATGTTCAAACGTGTCGTCCTCGGAAGCACAGTGTGGAAGCTGCATCATGATGGCCTCCTGCTTGTCACGGTGTTAGCGGTTTCAACCAAACACCCCGATTCCAAACATCTGGCATATTCCACACGACTCAGGATGCCGTATTCCCACCAAATGCCTGGCAGTCGGATGTCTTCTGCCAGGCGCGGGGGGGATGCTTTTTCATTCTGTCCGGCAAAGTCTTCGCCAACAACGAACCGACCCTGAGCCGTTCCAGAGAAAACTAGTCGCGTTGCGCGGGTGTGACTACGATTGCTAGTATCCTGGCGTTTGTGTTAGGATGCGTCGTGCGACGACTTGACCGTCGACCGCTTAAGCCTGTAGATTCCCTGTCTACCGTACGATTCTCAGCTTCAGCCGTTTGTGCTCACCGTTACCCTTGTCGGCGACTCGATTCATGCTAGCTGTTCGTTGGTTATCGTTGGCCCTTTGTGGAGCCATCGCTACATCCAGCAATTTCAGCTGCCGCTGGGGTTCGACGGAATCAGAGGGGGAATGTGAACCACAATCCCTTCTCCAGTCCCGGACACATGACTCGAGTGGCCGCAAGCTTCTTTCACTGCGCCGGTGCTCTGTTGGTGCTTCGGTGGCCTGCCCAACGGGCGGCAACGCGTGTGCAGGAAACCAATGCTGCCCAGATGGTACCATCTGCCCTTCTGCAGACACCAACTTTGACGGATGCCCCAAACCTGAAAAATTGCAAGACTGCGTGTCCGACACTATGCCCGGTGCGAGCAAGGAAGACAACACAACAGCCGTGAAGGTCGAAGCCAAATCTAGCAACTCGGCCGTCACTCTCGAGTGTTCAGGCGACACATTCATCGACTGCTGGACGTTCTTCGACTATCCAGACCCCACTCACGGCGACGTCGTCTATGTATCTGAAAGCGAAGCTCTTGCCTCTGGCTTGTATTCTGTGCAAAATGGCACTGTGTACCTCAAGAGCCAGGTAGGTCAGAACCAACCTGCGAAAAGTATTAGGCTACAGTCCAAGACGGTCTATCAGGCCGGGCATGTCTGGCTGATTGATATCCAGCACATGCCAACGGGTCAGGGAACATGGCCTGCCTGGTGGTCTGCGGGACCCGACTGGCCCTACAATGGGGAGATTGATACAGTGGAGACCGTGAATGTTGAGAATGTCGTGCAGTCGACACTCCACACTAGCGCCGGATGCTTCATGTACATTGACGGGATCAGTACTCCCGATTGCGTTTCCGGGCAAGGCCAAAGTGGATGTGGAGTGAATGGGCCTGAGAACAGTGCCGGGCCAAGCTTCAATGCCAATGGAGGTGGAGTTTATGCCACTCAGTGGACCAACGAAGGCATCTACATGTGGTTCTTCCCCCGTGGCCAGATCCCCACAGATTTAGATCAAGGAAACACATATTCGTGGGGCCCGCCTTACGTGACCTTCCCCTTCTACAACTGCCCCTCTTGGCACTTCAACGATCAGACACTCGTGATTAATCTTGCCTTTTGCGGTGACTGGGCTGGTTCGGTGTTTCCAGGTGGGAACGAAGCTTGCATTGAGTATGTCCGGAACCCAGCCAACATCGATGCACTCTCGGATGCATACTGGGCGATTAATTATGTGAAGGTCCTGTTCTGAGCTGCATGTTGATATCAATGGCTGCGAAAAGTAGCAGCTTTGGCAAGCAGGGCTCGTGAAGTCTCGAGACACAGACCTTTTGGCCGACAAAGGAACTGCCAGCGTGATTTGTGACTCTGCATGCAACGCAAAAAAGCACGGAGTCGCGAGCGGAAGCACGAAACCGTGTTGGCAATCAAAACTTGCAGCCGACTCCGTAACTCCTCACCTCATACCAGCCCTTCTAAATACGCATGGAACGATCCTCTCCGGAAATCTGCCACAAGGAGGCACCATGCACCTCTAAAGCCTGACAGCCATATAGGCTCCATAATCCTTGTTATACTCCGCCTTCACAAAGAAACAAAAGAAGTAGCCTTAAGCCTGCCATGTTCTACTCTTCCATAAAGAGGCACCAGAGGCCGGAAAACCCTATCTCCTTAAAGAAATACCTTCAAATTAATCCGAATCCCTAAACCCCTAAACCCCAAAACCCTAAACCCCGAAAAATCCTGCCTGGACGTGTTGTTGGAGGCCCCATACAAGGCCGAGTATGCGTGTGAATTTGCTGCATGCAGACTGGAGGGACAAGAATTTGTTGCATGCATTGCACGACGACGTACACCAAACAGCCTGGGCGTCATCCTGGCAATACTGGGGACGTAATATGAGGACACATCTGGATGTTTGCTGCATGTACTGCATGCTTTTGCTGGTTGCGGGTGAATACATGACGACGTATACGCTGCAAGCGAATTCTGAATTTGATGCTGGAGACGTGATATGCATGAGCAGAATGGCCCCAACTGGCTAGAAGGAGGCACTTGATCGTGATGACGGTGCTGAGGCATGCCATGCGTCAGTTTTCGTGATGCATGTGCATGCTTCGGCGAGGGCAATGTGCGGTGGCAGCTCTGAATTTGGAAGGCAGACTGAGGTCGTGAGAGTCGGAAGGAGGTCGTTTGATGTGCGAGTTGTGTTGGGAAGATTTAATTAGAGTGTGAGTGAGAGTTTGGGTGTGGTGAATACGCCTGCCCTTGGCCAATGTGCTATCGTCGATGTACTTGGAACCTCGCCAGGCTTGTCCCAGTTGTGAGTGCTGAAACCCCGAAAAATCCCTAAACCCCAAAACCTAAACCCAAGTCAAGGCTGGGCTTCCGATCCTACGCGAGTGCCTCAGAGGCTACAATGGCACGATCCTGGCCTACGGACAGATCCCGGCCTGCAGACATCTCTTATAGGGTGGACGTAGAGATAGTTCTTAACCTCTAATAAATAGCTACACCACATGTTGCTAGGGTCCCGAGTTCAGTGTAGAAGTAGAATAGGGCTTCCGTTGAAGACTTCCAGAACACAGGGTTTCATAATTTATATACAGGTTACCCTAAGGGTACCATAGGAAGTTTTAGTAGGGGGGCCTTAACGGCTAGAAAAAGGATTCAGGAGCCGGCATGAATAGCACTGGAGTGTTATGGGTTGAGGGCTTAGTGTTCTTCTGAATATAATTTATGGTTTTGCCGCTGTCGGATATTACACGTTCTGAACGGACGGAGGCTTTTAGAAGGGAAAGGGTGATTGAGCCTGTCTTCTTCCGTCGAAAAACCTAGGTTTAGCAACTCAGGTCGAACATCAGAAACCGAAAGCCATTATGCGCCCGGGCTTTGAGACCTCATTTGCCATGCAGGAGCTGTGTTCCCAGAAGACCTCCTTCAGGTAACGAGCCCCAAGCTTTCATCTCAAGGCCCATGGTTAGGAGGGTTGCCAGGCACCACGTCCGAAAAGCAATCCAATGGACCTCCCTCTAGCAAAGAATGACGTCGTGTAAACCAACCCTGGGATGCAGAGAGTGGTTTCGGAGCTAAGAAGGTTTCCTTTTGAGGATTGCGCTCCTGCCGTTGGCAGTAGTAGCTGTTTGGGTCACGATAGCAGCAGCGGTTGGACTAGAACTTCTACATCTACTTGGAGGGTCGGGGGACTTAGCAAGTAGATATTAAGTAGAGTTATAAGTACCCTACAAGGGATCCCAATTCAGGTTATGGTACTTACAAGTCCATGAAATAACTAGTTAGGACCCTCCAAGTAGTAGTAGTAGTAGTAGTAGTAGTAGTAGTACGCGCGTAGTACATATGTGACGCTGCGTCGTCGTCTACGTCGCAGGCATAAAACACTGTATTTTGCGATATGTACAGGGCT